CACACACAGAGTGGGAGGGACAGGAGAAAATGGAGGGAGGGAGGGAGGGAGGGAGGGAGGGAGGGAGGGAGGGAGGAAGGAGGGAGGGAAGGAGGGAGGGGGAGCAGAGAGGGAGGGAGGAGAGAGGGAAGGGGAAGGATAGGAAGGGAAGGAGGGAGAGAAAGGAGGGAGATACGGAGGGTGAAGGAAGATGGGGTGGGAGAGGGAGAGGGAGAGTGGAGAAGGGGAGAGGGAGAGGGAGAGGGAGAGGGAGGGGGAGGGGGAGAGGGGAGGGGGAGAGGGGAGGGAGGGAGGGAGGGGAGGGAGGGAGGGAGGGAGGGAGGGAGAGAGAGAGAGAGAGAGAAAGAGAGAGAGAGAGAAAGAGAGAGAGAGAGAGAGAGAGAGAGAGAGAGAGAGAGGAGAGAGAGAGAGAGAGAGAGAGAGAGAGAGAGAGAGAGAGAGAGAGAGAGAGAGAGAGAGTAATAACAACCACAATACAATTATCAATTAGAATAATGCGTAATGATAATAGTATCAAAATCAGATTCTACATAGAAGGGGAAAACTAAATTATTACAATTTTTTTTTAAAACAGAACACCCGTCTCCACACATAACCTCCCCGGCAAGAAAGTTATACGCCAACAGAGAGAGAAAAAAAAAACACGAAAGGTAAACAGAAAACACATCGTTATGGTTTAAAAGGAGTTTCGTGTATCTTCCTGCCAAAGCTCACCCTTTACCGACCGGCCTGGCAGGATCCCCCTATGCTTTCGGGCTTCCATTTGCGTAATAGGAACCTGCGTCATTCCCTTACGCACGCGGGCCGGGAGGGAGGGAAGAGGGAGTGGGTGGAAGGGAGAGAGGGAGAGAGGGAGAGAGGGAGAGAGTGAGAGAGGGAGGGAAAGAGGGAGGGAGGGAAGAGAGAGGTGGGGGGAAGGGAGGGAGAGAGGTAGAGAGGGAGGGAAGGAGGGAGAGAGTGCAGTCCGGGTTAATCCTATGACAGGGAGCAGGGATGTAGGAGGGGTGAGGGGTTAGGGGGGAGGGGGAGAGGGGATTCACTCATAAGCCACTCAATCTTTTTCTCAGAAATTTAACTCTCTTCCACACGCAAGCAAGTCCCCCTAACCCCCCCCCCACACACACACACCAACCCTTTCACCCACCCCTTTTTAAACAACCCTCTCCCCTTCCCCTCTATCCTCTGTTCTCGACCCTTTCTCTCTATCCCCTCTATCCTCTGTTCTCTATCCAGGTGTTTTATCACACAAGACTACGCTTTATCAGGTGGCAACGGGGTAATGTAGCTGCCCTGGTTGCTCGGCGGTGTGTTCGGGGGAAGGGGGAGGGGATATCTCAACTCTTGCGTCATCCTCTCACCCCCGTCTCTCCCCTCCCCCTCCTCTCCCCCACCCCCACACCTCCAGCCTTCCCCCTCCCTTCTGGAATCTTCTCCCCATTCTACCACGCCGCTACACTGCTTCCCCCTCCCTCACTCATTTTTTTTTCTCATTTGCATAATACGCCTTGCAGATAAGCGCCTCCCCGAATATGGGTCACCCACCATCGCCTCCTCATGGCATGGCCCGAGCTGCGAGCGTCCGCCATTTCGTCAAATGCCAGCATGAAAGAAAACGGTGTCCGCCTTCCCATTCTTCCGCGGCGAGGCCAGACTGAACTCGTCCTTATTTCCTCAAAATAACCTCGGTGCTTTACGCAGGGATGGGTACAAAGGCATCTCGGGACGCATTCCGACACGATGCATTCGTCGGATATCAGGGTAGTAAACACAAACACCACACGACGACGTAGAGAGCTAATGACCGTTAGTAAATATTTCACAACCACTGGGCCCGGAGATTTAACTGCATTCCTCTGTCACAAGAGAGCTCATTTTGCACATGCCTCATTTCACAGCCGGGAATGAATGGGTGTATTAACAGCTCCTGGGAAACAATTACCCTCGAGGAAAGACAGATTTACCCACAAGCAGGAAGGGCACATTTACCCAAGCGAGGGGACAGGTTTACCCCAGGGGAAGGTCAGCCCGACAGGACGAGTTAATGAAGAGATGGATTCAAGTGTGAAAACTACTCGTGTCAAAAGCAACTTACTTCTGGGCCTTAGCGGAGTTTGCGTTGGCTCGTTTGTAGGGTCGATCTCCCCTGCCAACAGCTTCAAAATTAGTCCTTAAGCACATACTCTTCCCAGTCACATGTAGTGCCCCTTTCTCCCAACCACTGCGCCAGATATATATATGAATATATATCTAATTATATCACTTTTCTGTATCTTTTCCGATAGCAGTCTTTATCACTGGTCACTGACAAACGACACTTGCTGTTGTCCGAATGTGAAAGTTCAAAGAAAGTTACCACGTACGATAATCGCTCGCTTGACTCTGAAAAAGCAAGGAAAATAACCCGATAGTTCAGGGAATCAACGCACTCTACCGGATCTCTCGCGCACTAAAGAGCTTGCAGAACACTTGCGACGGCTAATAACAACCACACACGCGCTCC